TGGGGTGTTAACAACGTTGCAGTAATTACACTTAAACTTTTAACACTTCCTCATGGGAAAAATTTACTAATTTTGATTCCGAAAACACTTATAGAAAACACTTATAAGGATAGTAACTCCCGAACATGGCTTCCTTTCTCATAATGATAATCAATTAATATTTACAAGCACAGCTGCTCCAGCTACTCCCTGATATTCCCTGAGTGGTATTGTCGTACAGACAAGGTATGTGTTTTTTTTGTTGTTGACTGAGACGGTGCCTGTGATTACCAACTTACATCAACAGTAAATACTTAAATAGCATAATAACATAATACATAGCATAAAATACCTTCAAACCTTGGTGATAATAAACCTAATGAACTGGCCCTGAAAATAACTATAGCCAAACTATTCGGACATTTTCCCACAGTAGGATTGCACAGTTGACGCTGTTCAGTGTTCTTATTTAGGTGAGCAGTTCCATTCGGTGCGCGTGTGCGTGACTTGGTTGCTATGACAATAGCGACTCCGTATTCCGTCAGGATATTATCAATTTGCAGTCTTGCCGGTCGGTTACATAACTCCCAATTCCAAACCATCCAAATTGATTATTGTTCTTTTGTCTGACGTAGCCGACAAGAAATTACCTTATATGGGCATCACATGACTTAGTAGACAAGAAACAGATCGGTAGCAGTAGACGGTGGTATGACTGGTAGGAAATACTAAATTTTCTTGTCTCAATTCTTTTCTGGTTTTCTTTTCTTCTCTTTCGCTACACCTGTACTAATCGGTACTTTATGGTTGTCTTCGCCAGTAATCTAAAACGTGAGATTATGTAGATTTTAGACTTATGTAGATTTTAGAGTCAAAACAAAGTGAGCTTTTGAGTTTCTACCACACTTTCGAGCAGTGGTCGTTCTGATTTCTGAACAGATATCCGATCATGCGTCATCCCATTTGATTTATCTATCTTTGCTTTTAATATCCATCTGACAGAGTTAAGGGGGGGGGGGGGGGGCCAATGGATATTTTTTTGTGAAACTTGATTTCGAGATAGTAGTTGACCAACAAACTAAGACCAGTGACCGAACTTTTGAGGGGGTCCCGGACCCCAACCGCCAAACGGTGCGCGCAGGGCAGCCACGCCCATATTTGGTCCAAATTAGGCCCAATTTAGCCAAATACCCTGAACATGCCCAAAACCAAGGTTTATGGTGCTCTACTTGTAGCTAGTGGTCTCCTGAACTCGTATATGAAATTTCATCAAGATTGGACGAAAAATGACTGAGTTATGAGCCAAAAACCATATGCCCATATTTGGGCATACGCACCAAATTTGGTAGATTTCGGCCCATAAATTGGTCAAATATCAATATTTTTGAATGAAACTTACTTTATATGAAAGGTAAGCCTAAACTACATATTATCTGTAAGTTATATCTTTATATCTGTTTAAATGTGGATACTAAGGCGAAAAAGCCACAAAAAATGAACTAAATTGCCCATATCTCGGTTCGCGATATTTGCGGAATTGATCTCATTAAAATTGTAACAACTCAATCAGTTTTCAAAATTTTTGCATGAAATTTTCGGAATCGACTCGAAATTGCATTTCCACCTTATTTTAAATACGGATTTTTGATTTAGGCCTCCAAAAAAATTTGGCGGCCAAACTCCAAAATAATCTCACAAAAATTCAGAATTTGGCCGCCAAATTTTTTTGGAGGCCTAAATCAAAAATCCGTATTTAAAATAAGGTGGAAATGCGATTTCGAGTCGATTCCGAAAATTTCATGCAAAAATTTTGAAAACTGATTGAGTTGTTACAATTTTAATGAGATCAATTCCGCAAATATCGCGAACCGAGATATGGGCAATTTAGTTCATTTTTTGTGGTTTTTTCGCCTTAGTATCCACATTTAAACAGATATAAAGCTATAACTTACAGATAATATGTAGTTTAGGCTTACCTTTCATATAAAGTAAGTTTCATTCAAAAATATTGACATTTGACTAATTTATGGGACGAAATCTACCAAATTTGGTGCGTATGCCCAAATATGGGCATATGGTTTTTGGCTCATAACTCAGTCATTTTTTGTCCAATCTTGATGAAATTTCATATACGAGTTCAGGAGACCACTAGCTACAAGTAGAGCACCATAAACCTTGGTTTTGGGCATGTTCAGGGTATTTGGCTAAATTGGGCCTAATTTGGACCAATTATGGGCGTGGCTGCCATGCGCGCTCCGTTTGGCGGTTGGGGTCCGGGACCCCCTCAAAAGTTCGGTCACTGGTCTTAGTTTGTTGGTCAATTGCTATCTCGAAATCAAGTTTCACAAAAAAATACCCATTGGCCCCCCCCCCCCCCCCCTTAACACATTATAATCGTGTTGAATATTTATATTTTGTGATCCTTGAAAATCTGGGTTATATTGCCACCTAGCTAAAGAACATGTAAGCCTTGAAAATCCGGGTTCTTTTGCCACCTAGCTAAAGAACATGTAATCCTTGAAAATCCGGATTATTTTGCCACCTAGCTATAGAAGTAGAACAACAAGACACCTATAATACTGTACGAGATTAGATGACAACAAGAAGAATTAGATGGCAACAGGGTTACACGTTCACCCATCACGGAGAATAAAGTTATAGGAATTTGTCGCCTGCATACAACATAAATTTAGGAAATCAATTATCACAATCCTGCCGTGTTCATCGCTAACGTTATACGTGAGGTCGCGCGACTGATTACAGAAACTACCAGGTTTCCTTCTTCACAAAGTTCCATCAAGTTTGACTTAGCTTCCATGGAAACCGGACTAATTCCCACTAATTCCCACGTGTGTTACTATAAGACTATAGTGACCTCTATTATAGTAAGAGGAGTATGTGAATACCACACAGTCAAGATATTGACTGTAATAATCGCAGCAGTCAATAGTCATACGATAGCCCGATAAAGCAGGTCACCTGTAAAAGTCACCTTTAAATACAGTGTAATCAGTTATAAATCCCAATAAACGGGACCGAAATCACAAGGGACGGTCACTGCACCGGCGACTCTCATCCCCCGCTAAACATTCGACCATTAGGTATTAATTATATCAATACCATTGCAAGCATTGTGGGCTCATTTGACTCGTTACTCTTGAAGCTTTCAGGTACCTCTTGCGAGTAGGTGACTGGGTTGTTCAACCTCTTCCGTGGAGGTGACTGGGTTGTTCAACTGTGTCAAATTAACTTTAGTGGGCGCTTCACAGCGCTCAGCGCATCCAGCGTGCAACCTGTGCCTAGTATACGAATTCCTCCGCTTCACGGTACGTAAATTGAGGTTTATATTAGCTCTTACACACTCTTAACAAGCGTTAAAAGTTGGCAGTACCAAGTATCGTCTCACTTGGTTAGTTTTCTAGCAGCTGCCACACTTGCCTTCTGTCACACTTGATCCACCTCCCGTTCTTAATTATATTTGTAGTTCTTAATTATATTTGTTAATACTTTTTACGCCAACTCCTTCTGTCGTGTGGTTTTCTTTCCGGTAGATGTTGTTGAGAAGGGTTGTATATTGCTGATAAATCACACATATATTATAATAGTGTTAATGTTGTAATGTTAACGCCTCTCTTCCCTTAGTACTTAACAGTGATAGTTGTAGGTTTACTCTATTGCTAGTACGGATTAAACTGGCAATAGTCTGGCATCTAGCTAGTTCATTCGCATCACATACGGGTAATTCCCTTGAGCTAGTTATTAACTTTTATTAGTTTCTTTGAACAGCTACATCATAATTGTAACTTGTACCTTGTTTCATTAATACTTAGATACTGCTTTAGCTGGTTATTAGTAACAACTAGCAGATAGCTCTTTCATCTTTGTAATCGTAGCACGGCAGAAACAATTTTGTCTGGGTCCTTGTTTCTTGTCATTTGAATCCTGAGCTGCAATCCAGACAGCATTTTTGAAACTAATGCTTTTTTTGGATACTTTTCGGTGGTTGTGGGCAAAGCAGACAGGCTAAATGTCTCAGACCTCAGTTCGTAAACTTAGTAAACTTAAGAGCAATACAAATTCATTATTCTTTGAGTAACAGAAACTTTTAGATTAAGGTATTGGCTGTATGGACTTGACAACCTTTTAAATAATAGTTGGAGTAATATCTCCATCGGTATCCTGTGATAGTCTGCTCTTTTGTCTGAAACTTTTGTAGCCGATTCCCTCTTCACAATGCCATCTTTGGTTATCAGGTTATCTTTTGACACGCGGCATCTTCAAGGACTGGCGTCATGGTGTTTTACCGCATTGTTTGATAATATTCATCAAAATTACTAAAACAATTTCCTTGATTGGGTGGGGTCTACTGTCTGAAACGTTTGATGTTGAAAGCTTCAAAAAGACAAGTTTTTCGAAAGTTTGATGTACAGTTTTCCTATCCGTTTCTCGGTAGATTATAAGCACACCGGTAAATTTCAATGGACTTACTTGAAACCTCCAACAGAATATAATAAGTACGACCAATCCCCAAACTGCAAGTGGGAGTGGCAATTTCCCCCGGACGCATTTGAACCTCTCAGTCAAAGTAAATGTATCACATTACAATTGTGCTATATTTGCAGTGCAATTTCCCATGGATATAGCATATAAATATACATATGTTTATAACATGTTTTTATTATATTATATTATATATGCGAGTTTTGAAGGAACTTATTTTCTTATCACTGAGGTAGTACTGTCAAGTAAGAATCTACAAAACTGAGTACAACTATACCTTGTCACATGCTGGGATATTACAAAGAGACCATTATAATATTAAATATATAGAGGTCTTCAAAGCTGTAGTGCCTGCTGCAGTTTGCAAAAAAAGATATAATGAAACAGTTTCCTTGGCTTAAATCAGAAATTATAATTACACAAGCCCCTTACAGACTATAATGAGTATTCAACTATCTAGAGACCTTTGTACCGGGTGTTTTATATTTAATTCACGTTAAATCTATTGCAACAAGTGAGGTATGTTTGTAAAAGAGTGGGTCATTAGTTCACAAGTTCTTCAATTCTCCACCCCATCCCATTTCCACCCCACCCCATCCCCACCTCATCTCCACCCCATCTCCACCCCACCCCATCTCCACCCCACCCCATCTCCACCCCACCCCATCTCCACCGCCGCACCTCGTATTAACCCCACCCCATCTCTACCCAACCCCATCTCCACCCCAACCCATCTCCACCCCACCCCATCTCCAAACCCAACCCATCTCCACCCCACCCCATCTTCACCCCACCCCATCTCCAACCCACCCCATCTCCATCCCGCCCCACCCCATCTCCACCCCAACCCATCTCCACCCCACCCCACCCCACCCCACCCCACCCACCCCACCCCACCCCACCCCATCTCCACCCACCCCATCTCCACCCCATCTCCACCCCACCCCATCTCCAACCCACCCCATCTCCATCCCGCCCCACCTCGTATTCACCCCACCCCATCTCTACCCCAACCCCACCTCTACCCAAACCCCATCCTCACCCCACCCCATCTCCACCCCACCCCATCTCAACCCCGCGTCCCCGCCCCACCTCGTGTTCACCCCGCCCCACTAGCCCGACTGTGGAAGATTTACTTACTGTGAGCCTGATTAAATCGTAAATATTTAAATGTTTCCAACTCCGATGGAAGTCTGGAGACACTTATTGTCTGAGACAATGAGCATGAATTATTCGCACACTTTTATTGAAGTCTTTTTATTGAGCATTATTTAGCCATTCTCAGATTTCTACTGCCGATTACTTTACTGAGCGAGAACTCTGTTTTTCGTCGACTGGACAACCCTATGGCTATATAGAACTGACAGTTCCACATCCAGAAAGTTGTAATTTTTTTCGCTGGTCAATGTTTTCCCATTAAAACGTTTTCTATGCCTAAAAAAAGGTCATTTCTTCAACAAATTTCCTCTTTGGCACAATATTGTCTCCAAAATCCAAAATATCCTCGCAGATTATCTGCCGTGTTTCTGGATGTGACAGTTCCCACAGAAGAGGGTCCTAGATACTATCCCACGTACTCTAATCAAGACATTATTGACACTTGCTGCTGCAATTTAGAGAATGTTAGACGTCAGAGTACCGAAAGAGTGTGGCTTTGAACACACATTTAAGGACCTTGACACATTTCGTTAATAAATCAATAAATTCCCGTACTCCCATTATAATTTTATAATAAAGACTTGGTTCCCCTACTCCAATTTAATACAGACTTAGTCTACTAAACATCGTCCCATGCCAACCTCCTTGTACCCATGCCAACCCATGCTGGTAACCATGCCAACCCATGCTTGGAAAATATTCGATACTTGCAAGGAAGGACGTAGTGTTGGGAATATACCGAGCACAGCGTGAGGCTACTGCTACTGCTACTACTACTACATACCAATCAGTGCGCTGTTCTGAAGCTGGTTACAGACTTGTGACGGTCTTTATTTGTTAGTTAAATTTCCCTACCATTAATTTCAGTTTTTGATGTTTATAGTTTGTCTGTTGTCAGTACCACTTCAGACGCTTAATTTCACAATCGAAAGGTTCGTGCAACGTTATCTTTTTACTGTCTAGCATATAATCCAGCGATAGACTTTACCCAACATAAATTTTAAAACGATCACGATATTGAAAATAAAAATCCAGACTTTCCTACAGGGTAGATTAGAAAATATCGGTTATGTTGCATGTGAAACCCACTTTTTCATTGTGTACTTAGAAGACTCCTCTTTAAAAAAGGGAACCCTCAATCAGCACCACCGGCGTATGAAATCATACCGGTGTAGACGAAATGTCTTGTAAGGTGCTGTGTGGGGGCTCGCAGTGTCCTCGTCATGTTTTTTTGATAAAACGACTCTAAAATTTCACAGTGTCTCATTTATTTTTTGATAAAACGACCCTACAATTTTGCAGTGTCACCCTTCGCATCAGTTCAGAAACTCCATTTTTGATGCAATTCATTCTCCGAAAAGATTGTGCATAACCTACTAATCTAGCGAGGACTGTCTGAGACTACTCACGTCAGCTTACCGTCCAACAGCAGTCTCTCCTACTGGCTTTGAGCAAGCTTCTGGTAGACATTCCTGAGCAATATACTGATTGATATTCCCTGGTATCTAGTAGACGACGCTCGATCCCAGTGGCATATATTATAATATTACTAATTATATATTATATATTACATATATTATGATATAACTTATTGGTCATGGAGACAATTTGCCCCGCTTGTATAACGTTATAGAGATATTGACAAATTCTTTTGTCGCACTTATATTAGGAGTAAATACTGTCGATTGAATTCCCAATAGACTGTACGCGTTTATCTGTATTTCTCGTAGAGATTTATAATTTTTAAAAGTGTCTCTGTATTTCTTGATAACAAATCCATCCTGCACAATTTATCTATTTTTGATAAATTTCAAAGTCTTTACTTTTGGATATTCATATAACGACTCTATAATTTCGCAATATTAAAGTAATATTAAAGTAATATTAAATTAATATTAAAGTAATATTAAAGTAATATTAAAGTAATATTAAAATAATATTAAAGTAATATTAAAGTAATATTAAAGTAATATTAAAGTAATATTAAAGTAATATTAAAGTAATATTAAAGTAATATTAAAGTAATATTAAAGTAATATTAAAGTAATATTAAAGTAATATTAAAGTAATATTAAAGTAATATTAAAGTAATATTAAAGTAATATCAAATTAATATTAAAGTAATATTAAAGAAATAACTGCTGATCAGTTACCCTTTCAGACGGTGATGACATGGTAATCGCGTACATGTCGGATCTTTTCAATCAAATCTCCTCCCGCTGCGTGTTATATAAGCTATTTCCGTTATGTAACTATATAATAATAACTATACAGTATATAATAATATAAGCTTATAAGCTTCCCTCCCCTGGTTATCCACCCTGTGTTATTACTTACTTACTTGCTGTACTTATAAAATAGTCTGACACAAAATGTTTCTCTGGTTATAGTGGTTATATCCATGTGTCATTACATATTATAACCATATAAGCAAATAAGCTGGTTAGCCATGTGTTATCGCTCCTCGCTAAGTTTGTATTTGTGATGCTTAATATCATGGTCATAACAGACTCGTTCTGCTGTACTAAAGTGAGAAAGTGGTCTGACACACGTTCTTCTAGATTACTGATCTATACTTTAGTAGTCTAAACTATTGACCTACTAAAGTTGTTAATCGGATATTTTATCATGTTAAAGCGGGGTTAACTGTGTTAAACGTTTGCTTAATATTGATATTCAGCTGCTCTGGATAACTGATCTATTATATTGAAGCCTACTTGGTGTGTAGCTCTAATTAAGCAACGTGATGTGCATTTAGGCCTAATTTAATCTTGGAACGTGGAAAGCACGTGCAAATTTCCAGCACGTGGATATTTCCAGGGCCCAGGTCTAAAAGACATCTTTTGCAGACGTGCTAACTGAAGCGTCTTTTTGGGCGGCAGGTGCGTTTAGTGTTGTTTTATTTGTGCTGAAAAGTGGACATTGCCAAGCCTAAAAGACATCTTTTGCACACGTGTGCCAACTTAAGCGTCTTTTTTGGGCGGATGCCAAGCAGCTGTACTTTAAGGTTGTTTCATTTGTGCTGCAATGCCACTTTAATACTAATCTAGCTTTAATTTACCATATAATTAGACTAACTAATTCTTTAAGCTAAGAAAATAGTACACATATCCAACTTTTCTCATCTCGTAACTTGCATTAATTTTCGTCGGAAGATTAATTTGACGCAGCAAATAAACTATGATTGCATCAAGGAATGAATTACACGCAACGAAAAATTACTGTCCTGCCATATCATCCTGAATTGTGTGCTATTACCTTAGCTTGACTTTATAATCTATACAATGGACCATTATTATACAGACAGCTCATACAGTTATATCAAGCATATATTTATAAGATTTTATTAAAAGCTAAATGCCGTCTATAATTATTAACAGCATCAGCTTTTGATAAAAAGTTGTATATGTTAGTGCCGTAATATTATCACTGATTATACATTAATTATAATTTACTTAATCTAGAGTCTAGACTAGAAGGTGCAGAAATAGTTAAGTCCTCGCCCACAATTTTAAAAACAGCATTTAGCTTAGACTTAACCGTGATGAGATCCTTGCGATGAGACTTTTGTCATAGCTGTTACTTTTATTAAATCTGAATTTTGTTGCGTTGATAGCTAGAGGAATTTGAATGTTACGACTTTCATCTGAAGTATTTTATCCACATTTCAGTATAAATCATCAACATTTCAGTAAATCAACCACATTTCAGAAAGTAATTGTGTGTGGGGGGGGGGGGGGGGGACCCCATCGATGCCCATCTGACCAAAAGTTGAGGAATAAATGGGCATCCGTAATTCATCATTTTACGGTCAAAATCGAAAAATAAATATTTCTGATATAATACTCTTAGGGGCCATCTACTTAAGACGTCCAGCAAATAGGGAGGGGGTGGTTTTGGAATTTCGGACAAATCCGGACAGGGGGAGGGGGGGGGGGTGGTTTCTGAAAATCCGGACGTCCGGAAATTTTGGCAGAATTAACAAAAAAGTTTTATTTCAACTCTTTGAATTTTATTTCAACTCTTTGAATTTTATTTCAACTCTTTGAATTTTATTTCAACTCTTTGAATTTTATTTCAACTCTTTGAATTTTATTAACAATGAATTTGAGTTGGTTTTATTTGTACTCTTAAACGTACTCTTAAAAGTAGCTGGAAATCCGGACGTCCGGTGGAGGGGGTGGTCTGGAAATTTGAGATTTTGGCGGACGTCCTAAGTGGATGCAAGATGGCCCCTTATTCAGTAGAGGACGGCGAACATCATAACTCAATTTTTAGCTGTTTTTAAGACCATGCCCAACGATACCCATGCCCATTGCCCATTTGACCAAAAATCGATAAGTTACTTGAACAGTAAGAACTATGAGGCTTTTTATATATTACAATTTATGTATATTATAATTTAAGGAAATCTTATTGGTGTATCTTTACCGCTGTTTCTGTTTTTCAACGGTTTTTCTCTTTCCTGATTGCACTTTAATTGCACATGTCAGTAAGATACTTTACACTGACAACGGGAGAATATCCTGCAGATTTTTTGTTTCAGTCACGTACTTTATAAAGAATTCTCCTTATATTATTATATGACCAGATATTTTGCATAAAATTACGACTTCAAAATTATGGGTTTTTCGAAACGATTTTTCTTTGAAGTTTTTTGCCGCAAACTATTATTTAAACATTATTAAACTACTAAACAGAATCTAACACACAAAAATTATTAAAATAACTTGAATTTTAAAAGGTTTAATCTATGCTTACATATCTTTAACCCAACATTTCTCAACACAAACATTGCACTTCGATTTATCATTAATTTCATCAAGCCCACAAAAGTAGTCAATACTCAAGTATTTCATACTCAACTCTTTAAAAAAAAACGAAAAATAAATTGAATCAAGGCTTTCCTTGTCTCGGTATAAGCACATTATCAGATACCGCTAGTGGGACTGTAATCTTGGCTTCTGGGAGGCGGTTACTAGGTTAC